TGGTGACGTGTCCGATTCCCAGACCCATGCAAGTGGACAGGAGTCTTTGGGCGTAGGGCCCGCTGCAGGCACAACATTCCCACTCCCCAACTCATCTCAGCAGGCAGCAGGTGGAGTGCATGCTGGAGGTGGGAGGACCTCCCAGGGCAGTCAGGCTTCAGGACAAACCGTCACAGGTGTCAGAGACGGCAAAGGCAACACCGCAAGGCGGTGGAGGAGGAGGACCCCGAGCGCAACACGAAGCCGACCACACCACAAAAGATGGCGGTGATGACTTCTCGGACAAAAACGGCAATGAAAAGAGAGAGCCTCCAGAGGGATCGCAAACTGCACCGCTACCCGATGGTGGCAAGAATGCTCATTATTATTTTCTTCTACTCTTACCGGCACGTCCAGCCACACGGTGCCATCTGAGTGCCGATGAGGTGGTCGAGCAGCGACAAAAGTTTTCTGCTATGAAGCAGCTGCCATTGGGAGAACTTTCCGTGACGGAGGTCCTGCTCAATGCTCAGCCGTTGGCGCACAGCCAAGGTGCCTGGACATCCTAGAAGCAGATGGTGCAAGGTTTCCTGTGGGCCTATTGGCGTGCTTTTGGAAGCAGGCTGATCCTGCGGCAGCAGGGATCGCCTCCTGGCACTGCTGTTTCGATGTCGTGTGGCGTCTGGGTTGTGTGCGCAGCGACTTCTGTGCTGTGCGGTGCTTCTCCGTGTGGGGAAAACCATGTCACAGAAATCGCATTTGAGCTCGGGAAGCGGTGGAGGATGTTCCGGATGGAATGACCGACAGTGACTGACGAGATTCGAGAATCCCGTCAATATAGAATCGCAGTACGGACATTTCTCCTTCCGACGGCGTGTGACGTTCCGTCTCCTTACTGGAGAGACGTCTTCGTCCCTTGCCGACGGGGGAACAGTGTCCGTCCCCGGTGCAGTTGGGTCGTTGTTAGAGCGCATATATGCATACTGTTCCGGTGAGATGTTGCAGAAACGGCATTGGTTCGTGCAATCTCTCACAGCCCAGTATAATCGGCCCCAGAGCTCAGATTCCCCGCACCTTGCCCTAGCGAGGTGGACCAGTCCCTGACGGTGAAGAACTTTCTGAGTGATTAGGTCCTTGCCGCTGAGATCGGATGGCCTTGTGCCGCAAAGCAAGTAGCGATGAGTGTCTTGACGAATGGTACTACGCCACTTATTGATAAGCTGGGTAGTAAAACATGTCAGCAGGTCCGTATGCCATAAAGGTGCGATTCCGTGCTCCGTGTATTGTCCGGTTGCCATAGTCTGCGTCGCATACTGATCCGCAAGCTCATTAGCATGTACTCCACAATGTCCGTAACAAAACTGCAGGTGCACGGACCAGCCAGCACACGTCAGTGTCAAGAGACGCTGCCAGATCTGATCCTCCGTCCAGTCTGTCTGACTGAGCGGACCCTTGTTTAGAGCCGCTAGAAGAGACTGACTGTCTGTAACCACAAGCAGGGTTTTATGCCTGTGTTGGATACGAGGGATAATCAGCTTCTCTAGGGCTAGAAGCAGTGCGCGGGATTCCGTCCTGTAGCTGCATGGGCGTGTGCCGCAGTTGGTACTGGCCTTTTCTATTATCTCAGATGAGTTGAGGGATGAAAGCAGTATTCCAACCCCGGCTGACTTGGGAACGCCGACACCGCCATCCGTCGCGAGTATCCACGGTCCCCAACGATGAAGTCGTACATTGTCGCGGTGCTGGGGCTTTGGTTGCATATAGGAACTGCGCAGCAGGGCGTTGCTGCGAGCACGACGGAAACCAAGACGACTCTACCCCTCGAGAAGGTACCACGCCATGCCCGGTGTGGGGAGGTGAAGCGGTCTGCCTGCAGACTGTCGGACAAAACTGCACGACCGTTTCGCTGCGGTCATTCCGTTGATATTACCCGTGGCGGTGACGTCCACAAGAATTCCGGCCCCGAGGAGGATGGCTTCATCACTGTTTGGCAGCGTAACATTGCAGGTCTCTCTTCCGTAAAAAATATTGCGTTTGCTGTGCGATGGGAGCTGCCCCAACCTGACATCGTTCTTCTCCAGGCAACAAATAATCGAAGCGCCATAGAGGCAGAATTATCCGGCTGTAATGGCTTTCTTCAGGCCCGCACTGGGCGCGGTGGTGGTGTTGCCGTTATGGTGCGCCACTCTCTACCGTGCGAGCGCCTGTTGCTCCCTGGCACTGACCTCCTGGAGACCATCGCTGTCCGTGTATTTTCTCCGGGCTGTCCCAGCATTTGCGTGGTGAATTACCACAACCCTCCCATGGAAACTGTTCAAGAATCCGCATTTATTAATATCTTCCGTCGCTTGGGCCCCGCTGCGATTATCGCGGGTGACCCGAATTGACATCATGAGCTCCGTGACAGCCATATACCATCGACGACTGGAGGAGAAAACTTCGCCGCTGTTTTAATTGATATGGATTTTGAACCCGCAAATGACCCGGCGCAGGCAACACGGATCACACATCCTAATGCCTCGTCCCCTGACGTGACTGCGTATCGCGTACTACGCATCTCTAGCTGGAAATCCACTCCCTACATGGATTCGGACCACTGCTTAATATGTTACTCGGTAGGGATGGACGATGGCATTCCACGAATAGCCAACACGCTGCCTCGGCGGGACAAAGCCACCTTTGCCCTGCGTAAAGCGGATTGGCCTGCTTCCACCTCGTCGAGTGAAACCCTCCTTGCCACCGCGTCTACATGGTTGGATCTTCGCAGAGGCATCGTAAGAGCAGCTGAGCGCCATATCCCGCGCGGCAGCCGTGAAAGCCCCAAAATAATATGGACACACGAAATGGTGCAAGCCGAGGTCGCCGCGGAAGCAGGACATCAAGCACACATTGCCTTTCCTGGAAACGTGCTACATTTTACCGAATTTGCCCGAAAAAGGGGGAACGAAATCAAGCCTTACGCCGTGGCCTCTCTATGCTTCTGGAATCCCGCGCGAAAAAACTTGGGGCTTCATCCAACCCAAGCTGGCGATATCTTCGCGGCATGGCGGCGCCGCACCCTCATCCTCTGGAATTGGTTGTGCTCCGAACTGAATCTGGCCGCGTATGCGCTCTGCCTCGGCAACAGGCAAACCTGCTTGTCCGTCATTTTGTGCGGTTTCACGTGCCACGTTACCCTATACTTCTGCCGCTGCTCGCCGCACTCCCTTGCCCCTGGTGACTGGGAAATGGATTGGCCTCTCACGCCGTATGAACTTGACGTGACCATCCGCGACTCTTTGCTTGGCTCAGCCCCTGGCCCCGACGACATGTTGAATGAATTCCTGCACCATCCCGGGCCCGTCGTACGTGGCACAATTAGAACGATGATCAACAACTCCTTCGCAAATGGCAGCCTGACTGGCTCCTGGAAAATGGGGTCACTATTCCTATCCCAAACCTGGGAAGGATCCATGCCGCCCAGAGAGCTACAGACCTATCACGCTGCTCTCTGTTTTACTAAAGTTAACCGAAGGAATGATTGACCGCCGTCTGTCAGCGTTATTGCCGCACCACCCACGTCAATTCGGGTTCACACCTTCGCGTTCAACATCGGACGTGGTGGTACTTGTTATTGGTAAAATTACCGTGGATTGAATGAGTTCAGCGCTGTGGAGTATGCGCGCCCTGGAGGCGGCGCCCCACACGACGCCCTCGTCGCCATCGCTCGCTCGCAGTCTTGATTGATTTTTCTACTGCGTTCGACACCGTTGACCATGGGAAACTATTCGGCATGCTCGGCGGACTTTCGCCCTCGGCCCTCGAACCAAACGCTGGCTGCACAACTACCTGCGGGGCCGCTATGTTAGGGTATGCACTCGCGAACAGCACTCCCGGAAACAACTCACCTCAGACGGAGTACCGCAAGGCAGCGTCCTGCGACCCCAACTCTTCCTCTACAGTGTGGATGATCTGTTGCACCGCATGGACAACATCTATTCCGCCTCCGCACTCATGCACGCTGAGGAGCTCACACTTGTTGCCTCAGGTGCGGACATCCATGCATGTGCTGCGGCAATGCAACCCGCCCTGTCACTTATAACGAAATGGGCTGCCGAGCACAGCCCCAAAATCAACGTTGGTAAGAGTGAATCTGCTCTATTCTACATCTCTTTACACACACGGTCTGAAGAGGATATGGTCGATCTCCTTCCTGGCAATGGGAACCTACGTATTCAGTCACGCCCAGTGCGCTTACTGGACACCACGGTTGAACAACTCCTTAATTTTCGTACGCACGCTTCCAACGCTGCAAAGCAGACCATGCTACGTCGTTACTAATTGAAGCTGGTCGCACAAGCTGGAGCGTCCCATCACACCATGCGATACTTTTCAATTGGATACGTCCACAGTGTGCCACTATACTGTGGCGATGCAATTGTCCCATGCCTCGCCCCCACTTACCTCCATAATATGGAAGTACGGTATCGCGACAGTTGTAAAACATTCTTTGCCTGAGCGCATCTACAGATAATACATCTGTCTGCTTGCAAGCCAATATTTTCCCGCTCCGAAAGTTACTCTGGCTTTCTGCACTCACGCAATACTAACGCCATGTACGTTTCCATAATCACGGGATTTGCGCTCCCTTATCTACTCGGAACCTATGCCTCCGTCCATGCATGGGAAAACGGCGACATCGATCCCGCTCCCGAGAGATGCTGTTGTTAATGAATTAGAACGCGCATGTAATACTATTGGGATACCCCACAGCCACAATCGCGCTCCTCCTATTCAACATCGAATTTTCCTCTGGGACACTGTGAGTTGCAATAAAGTGGAATTTAATCAGCCACGCTTTGCCCAAGACGCCTCTGACGATGTCAAGCGCACGGCTTTTGATTCTATTTACTCCTCTCTAGGAGATTTTGATTTTGAATTATGGACAGACGTTTCTTCATCTCTCGCCGAACTCGCATCTGGATCCGCTGCGCTATTATATTACTCCACCACGACAAATGATCTCCCTGTGGAGGTCCATCGTGCAGCAGCTGGCAGGCTCGCACGCTCATATAGAGCAGAGTGCCTTGCCACTGAAAAGGGCATTATACGTCTCATACCTTTTGTCTGGAAACATCCCAATCGCCCACACGAATCCTGGTGGCAACAGACTCCCTGTCGAGAACTGAGGCACTCCGCGTCGTTCCACTGGCCATGCAAGACTACGTTACCGAAGAGATTTGGATTATGCTGCTCTCCTTGATAAAGCGAGGTCACTCTGTAAACTTCATGTTCTCTCCATCGCACTGCGGTATCCCACGCAATGAGGCCGCTGACGACGAAGCCATGATTGCACGATCCCTCCCGCAGGAGGGCAGCCCAATCTGGCACGTGGACTTCCTCGCTGCAGCCAGGCGACCGTACTGGAGGGATGCCCAGAAAAAAAGGAAGGCGCGTACACCGCATGACAGGCGCCTGTCGGTGTGGCAGGGACTCTATTCCTGGCACGACCCGGACATCGTGCCACGAGTGGCGGCACTGCGCACAGGTGCGATGCGACTCCTGCCCACTCCTCGACAGGCCTGCGCGTGTCCTTCGTATCACAATTAACCCTCTGTGTCGGTGGTGCCGTCCCTCCCTCACTGAGGAGACCGGCCCGCCGCTGCCTCCGCCAGAACCTCTTCCCGACGTGAGTACCGCAAATCCTTGCCGACCAGCGAGCGACGGATTGACGTCCTCCTGCTCAAGCTGCAGCAGAGTGCGCACGTCCGTCCACAATATGAGGGCGCATGCCCGACGTGCTCGACCTGGCGTTCCGATAGTTGGAGAGGACCTCACATGCGGGTGCCACAATGGTGCCAGCGTCTTCTTAACAGGCGCCTCGCGCACAGGTCGCCACAGAAAGTGCCAAGCATGCCAGCAGGCAAAACACGCAGGAAGCACAAGCGCGGGCACTCGAGATGGACCACGAGAGACTTCGCTTCATCCACTGCAGAAATGCCCCCGTCGTTGGGAATTGGGAATGCGAGTGTTTGGGAGTGCCCCAGCCCGCACGACGGCACGTGTGAGATATAACACTTGCTTCGTTTATACGGACATTCCTTGCAGTATTGACTATTTGTGACCATAACCGATAAAGAAATAATTTTAAAAAGTTGAATTTAGAAAACAATAGCATACCGTATTTATCTGAATAGTAACAGCGACAAAATGTTTAATGACGTGACATTCACCGTCACAGTCAGAAGAGCAAGAGCAACCAGCGGAATGAGACTCGTGAGAGGTCCTTTCTAAATGAAGGAAGAGAAAAAAAAAAGAAGCGACCCGTTTGTTTACGTGTATAGACATGGGTCGTGGCACATAGGCAGCACAAATAGCTATCCAGCACTAGAGCCTTTCCACTATAAACTATTGAAGCAATTTCGCTTCCCGAACTAACCTTTGCGTCATCATTCGCGACAACCTGATCCCTACAACCCCGAAACGCGCAGCATACCGTTAATCCGACTTATTATTTCTGTTGATTTTTTTTTTCTGTATTTTTCTGCGTGAGACTCCACACGCTGACACAGTTGTTTTTTGTTGTTGTTGTTGTTGTTGTTGTTGTTTTTTTTTTTTTTTTTTACAAGGGTAAAGGCATTTAAGCACCCACGTATATTTCCGGATGTGGCTTTTACACCCCTTTTCACTGAAAGAGCAGAAGTGAAGTGGCGCATGAAGGGGTAGAAGGAAGGTGCATCGTTCTTTTTTTTCCCTCCCAGTTCCTTTGTTCCACCGCACTTCCTTCTCGCTTTTTTGCGTCACTCTGTGGCAGACGTTACGCGCTACGGCACGATCATCCATTATTTGTGGGTGAGCTTGCCCAGAATAGATTTCCTGCATTCTTAACACGTCAAAGCAAACACGCCTGTTCATCCAGGTTGTTTTCTTTGTGTCTGTGCAATGTAGCTTGCAGGACGCACTTGAGACGTTTCTTCTTGTTTGAAGTACGAGTACCGTTGTCAGTGGCAAAGCATCGGCATTTTCATTTATTCTTTTGTTTGAGTGTTTTGTTTTTCATACCTTAGAAGAGTATTCTATAAGGCAAACTAACCGAATCGTTTGATGGGTTACCGGAAGGGAGTTATTGTAAAGTCGAGTTGGAGCAACACGACTCCGACGGAGAGGAGAAAGCGAGGTCGGCCAGACCAATCTCGTCCTGCGCCACCAAATCCGTGGAGGGCAGCGACCCACAACGGAAGCAGTCCGCAGGAAACCACGCATGTGTCACCGACGGTTTTCGGCGCCCCCAACTCGCCGGGAACGTTTCCACCAGTGCGATCCAACGTAAGGTATGGACACATTGCGGATGGTAGCGGCAGAAGTCGCCAAGTGGAGACGGAGAAGGAAAAGAAGCTGGCGCCGACCCATTCAACGGAGCAGCCCAGCAAAGACAACGAAAAAATAAAGCATATGGTGGATACAGAGAAAGCCAAAGTAGCCGACCAACGGCCACCCACAGCGGAAGGTGGCTGTAGTCACGCCTCTCTGCAGGAGCTGTTGCGGCGCATTATTGCACTTGAGTTTTCTGGCCGGTGCACGCAGCGTTCCATGGCGGTGTTGGAGACAATTTGCGATACACTCTGCCAGAGTCCGATGGCCGTGGTGAAGGTGATGGAAGTTCTTGATGAGTGCTTTGCGGAGGCTGTCAACATGAGACAGCAACAACAGCTCTTGAATTACTGGTACATAGTCGATGCCGTGATGAAACTGTTCCGCGACCGGCCCTCCATGCTAAACGCAGTTGTTGTTGCCCTACCGCATCTCCTCCTTCAATACGTGCCCTGGAAAAAAAGTAGGCTTGCGGAAGAACCATGGGTGCAGCGTGAAAGCGATGGGCACCGCTACGAACAGTTGTTCCTCACCTGGGGCCGCGCCGTGCCAAAGCCGCTCCTTGATGAAATTTGGTCCTTGTGGAAAAACGGCGCTCCACAAACAGAGACAAATTCCCTTAATAAGCCATAGGAGAAATACGAATGGAAAGAAATGGCTCCTCTGCAGGGGCGGTTCGTGTGGCACATAAACACTGCAAAAGCAAATAGCAAATGTCACTATAAAATCGCGTGCGCACGCTTAAAGTATGGAGAAGCAATTATGTTTAGCTGCCCTTGTTTTTGTTTTACGGTTGCAAGTCTAGAAAAGTTTTTTTTCTTGAATCTGTGCGTGTGTGCGTGGAGGTTTATTGAATTTCATTGATAAAATCCTATAGGAGAGGGTTCATTTGTTAATATTTATGCGTTTTTTATCACCAGCTTTTTCCAGCACAGGGCGCTGATGTGATAAGCCTTTTTACAATTTGTTTACGATAGCGGTGGGTGAAAACGCGTCTTCTACTGTAATAAATTATTTGTTTTTCCCTTACGCTTTTACTTTTGAACATGTTTTTTTTAGAATTTCCCTATCCTGATTACAGCGTTTATTGTGGAAGTACAACGCGGCATGAATCCTCAGCAGCTTCCCATTGCCAGGCAAACGGCGGCAGAGAAAGAACGCATTCACCGCCTGCCCGCGCAGAGGGGAAGATGTTAGAGTCCTTGCCCCTTCCCGATCGGCGCGTGTCATTATAGAAGGGGCGACGGGACGCCACCAAAAGAAACGAACCCCCGTTGGGAAGTTTTTTTGGCGGCGGCCAGCGCCATGCGCCGTTATCCCGTTAAGAGTGCTTATCGCCTCCGCCCCCAGCCGGAGAAGCCGGCTGGCGTCGCACAAAGGTTTTGCAAAAAAAATACGTGGGTATACTTTCCCCCTTTCGGGAAAAGTGGGGAATGAGACGCCCGCTCCCTTAGCGCCATTCCTCGCCGGACAGCGGCGGGAAGCGGGCGCCGGAAACGCGCGGGGAATCCAATATAAGGGTGCCGGCACCCCGCCGGCAAGAGAGGCTCAGCAGGTTTCTTGGTGTGGGTTCGGCCCGTTGGAATGGCCGTCGCGACGGGGCGCCCTACTCGAAGCGGCGGAAACCCAGGATGAAATAAGCATTGCGCCGGGCTTTGGGCTGCGGCCCCGGGGTTCGCAGAAACGAGGCGGCGGGGCGGGGGCGCAGAAACATTGCTGCTTTCGGTTTTGGCAATATTTCCACGGAACCAACCAGACATGGCAGAAACACCCACAGCACGCCTTCGTCCGAAGGGTGCGGTTTTCCCTCCTCGGACGAGCGGTCATTCTGCCAGGCCGCCGCGCCGCTTACAAACAGCCCGTCGTGGGGTCTGAAACAGTAGCTTGAATTCCCATCACGTTTTTTGTGCCAGCCGAGGAATTTTTTGACTTGCAGACCCCATCGCCGAATGCGGGAAGGGGTTCGGGAAAGTGCCGCGTTGCGAAGTCAGCGATTCTTTTTGCAAGAGTTGACTCGGAGAGCGCGAGGGAGTGAAGGAAAGCCGGTTGAGTTGGCACGCCTTGGGCTTCGTCCGCGCGGCATGGAGGTTTCGGGCTCGGGCCGCGTCGTCCAAGAGCTTGCGCTCTTCCAACGGAAGACCGCCTAGAACCCACGCCGGGCCGAGGCCTTCTTTATTTTGGCGCACGCAGCGCGTAAATAAGCCAAAAAGGGCGCATCGCGGCCTCTTCAGGCATCAAGACAAAGCGCCCCTCCCGAACCGGCGGTCCCGCCAGGCCTTTTTGCTTTGAAACACAGCTTAACACTAAGCATTGGATTTAAATCCTTTTAAAACCACCGATCCAGTAAGGGCTGCGGGGGCCGATTGCCCAAACATTTCTGTCGCAGAAGCCGCCCGCGCCAAAGGTCCGATTTGACTCACGGCCGCGGCCGCTTTTGGTGCAAAATAAAGCACAAAAACGCCGCGCAAGCAACAGATATCGATTCGCCGGTCGCGCGGCAGCGCGCATCCCGAGAGCCGCCGATTCCGAAAAAAAAAAAAAAAAAAAAAAAGCGCACTTTCCCAAATTGATGGAAATTGCCTTTGTTTTTTGAAAAAGGAAGCAAACACATTCCCTCTAGCAACCCACATGGCCGATTCCTTATGCCAAGTTCGTCGCTTTCTGGAAGAATGAAGAGTTACTTGCCTGGACTGCCGGCCCTTTCCCCAAATCATCAAACACAAACAAGGGGGAAGAAAAGAATAACAGAGGACTGGGTTCGCTACCCCGATGATTCATACAAGCAAATAAATTCTGACAACCGCCCTAGTCACACGTCGGCCTTTGTTACGAAAAGAAACACTACTTCTTACAAGGTTAAAGGCTTCGGGCTCTTTCAGCCACAAGACGCCGCCGTTCACCTTTTTGATCCTCACCCGGTGGCGGGGTCGTGTGGCTGGAAGTGCCCGGAATCCGGCACCTCGTCAATTATAAAGACACACGACCGCCCCTGGCTCAGCCGGCCACCTCAACGTGGTGCCAGGGTCTGGCGCTCTTTGCCAGAGAGGAAGCTAAGCGCCTGCTGCCCATCCGCTGCACGCGGAGAGGCAGGAGGCGCCGCACAAACGGGTCGGAAGGGCACCAGATGGAGCCATTTACATGGCTGCCCGCGGAGCGGTATTTCCATCCGCTGCTGAATTCCATCGGCGCTTATCAGCGCTACACATACTCTTTGCGTGCCGTATGTGACGCGCAACGACAAATGTTACTGCTAAGCGGAGACATTGAGCAGAACCCAGGCCCCATAGCAGTACTCCAGATGAACGTTTCTTGCCTCACGCCGTCAAAACTCGCAACATTAATGGCGCAAGGAGCAGACATAATAGCCATCCAGGAGACTTGGAAGTCGTCGGAGCAGATCGCCAGCATGTACACTGGAGATTATGTGCTCCATGCACAGTCGCGCATCGGCAAGGGAGGCGGTGTGGCGGTGCTGGTGCGGAAAACTCTCCGTTCCAAGCGTATACCTCTCACCATCCCCCAGCATGACACCAGCCTTGAAGTGGTGGTGGTCCAGGTTGCTCTGGACCAGAACCGTGATCTTATTGTAGCGAGTGCCTATATGAGACCACCACCGCAAATATCGCAATCCTTCAGGCGGTTAGTAAACTGCCCTCCAGCCTCGTCGCCGCTCCTGCTGTGTGGGGATTTCAACATGCATCACCCACAGTGGGAGCCATTCTTGGAGTCTTCTCCAAGCGAGGTTGCTGCAGAATTTTTAGAACTGTGCACGGATGCGGGACTCACCTTGGTTAACACCCCTGGTGAGATCACGTATGCTCGTGGCACAAGAGAACGATCCTGTATCGATCTGACATGGTCAAATGCTTTGACCATGTCAGATTGGTCAGCTTCTGTGTCGCCGCTTAGTGATCATTACATGCTAACATTTACGCTGCATCAGGCATTTAAGGATACCATACCTTCGGCACCCCCTTCGGCACCTAAGACATTCTACAGTTGGGGGAAGTGTAAATGGGATTTATTCATCAAGGACTTCGACGCACAACTTCCGGCATATGACTATAAAAAGCAGTCCACCGGCATTAAAGCTTTCACGAGAGCGCTTATTACTTCGTATCGACGACATTGCCCCCGCGGCATGCACAAGGATGGTCCCAGGCTTTGGGACGACACTCTCATGGAGGCAGAGCGGATTGCTACCGACAGCAAGGCCCGCTATCTACAGTTACCGACGCCCGACCGTGAGGCAGAAATGCAACGGACAAGGAGTCAATTCTTCCTCCTACTCCGAGAGCGCTTGCGCAACACGTATCTACGTCGCATCAGCAAGCTAAATCCAGGCGAACCACTCGCATGGAAATACATTTCCGGACGAAAAAAGGCATCACTTCCACCTCCTACATCATTGTTGTTGGGAGGTGGTCAACACACTTATAAAACAGCAAGGAGAGCAGCGAATGCTCTCAATCGCATCTTTTTTCCACTTCATCCCTCTCACAAGGCAGTAAGGCCTTCCAAGGGCATCAACAGACAGAACCCATCTTTGGGCATTGTTTCTTCTTCTCTTTTTAGGCCGCAGAACAGCAGCGAGTCTGCCGCTACATCTACTTCAGTTTTTTCATTCTCATCTAGCTCAGAGCCACAGGATAACAACGAAGCTGCCACCACATCTGATTTAGTTGCTCATCTTCATTCCCCTCTTGATGCACCTTTTAATCGTACGGAACTGCTTGCTGCGCCACGTAATACGCCGTATGGCAAGGCCCCCGGACCGGATGAAGCCCACAGTGAGGCACTGCGACATATTTCGTCAAAGGGTCTTCGATTCCTTCTTCGTTGCATTAACCACAGCTGGACGACAGGTACGATCCCGGCTGAGTGGAGACGCGCTACCATCGTCCCACTCTTAAAACCCGGTAAGTCGCCGGAACTGCTTGAGTCATATCGACCCATCAGCCTTACTTCCATTGTGAGTAAGGTTGCTGAGAAAATGGTACTGAAGAGATTGCTTTGGGTGTGAACGCCTCACCCCCACCAGTATGCATATCGTAGTATGCGTACTACGACGATGCAGCTGGCACACCTGATACACGAAGTGGAGCATAATAGAAATCATTATTTCCAAGTGAACCTTCCCAAGAAGAGCGGTATTGGTAATCAACTCCACTACAGACCCCATCGGACTCTGCTGGTGTTGGTTGATTTCAGCAAGGCTTTTGACTCCATAGATCATCGAGTCCTCAGTCGCTTGCTGGCCAATATTCCGGGGGTGAATTGTAGAAGGTGGCTTAGAAACCTTCTATGTGGTCGTAACGCGAAGACACGAGTTGGTAACAGAAACAGTGATCGGCGTCCCATGCTGCGAGGAGCTCCTCAGGGGTCCGTACTGGGACCATATTTGTTCTCCCTTTACGCACACCCACTTCTCAATCTGCTGAACAGCTTTTCGGGTGTCACAGCAGACATGTATGCGGACGACCTCTCTATTATCGTTAAGGGGCGGTCCCGGGAAGACGCCATTCCCACTGCCCACATGGTTCTCAAAAAACTGCATGCGTGGAGTCAGGAAAATGGCCTGGCCATCAACCCGTCAAAGTGTGAAGCCGCTTGGTTCACGCTCTCCACGCACA